AAGTGTCATTACCAACCAACAGGTTTATTACTGTGACCAACCTCATCTCTTCAGTAATGAACAGTCAAAACATATCAGCACGCACCTGCCTTCAACTCTTAGGCTACATGGCTCCAACCACATTTGTGGTACGACATATGCGTCTCCACATGCGCTGTCTTCAAGGCTGGCTCAGAACCGTCTACATGCCACACAAACATGGCCTAAACAGATATCTTACGATGCCAACCAAAGTCAAAGATTCTTTACACTGGTGGACACAACCCAACAACGTGTGCACGGGGATTCCTTTCACTCATAGAGTCATAGACTTTAAGGTCAGAAGGGACCATCATGATTATCTAGTCTGACCTCCTGCACAATGCAGGCTGGAGAATTTCACCCACCCACTCCCGCAACAAGCCCCAAACCTATGTCTGAGCCATTGAAGTCCTCAAATCATGGTTTAAAGACAGAGAATCCTCCAGCAAGTGACCCATGCCCCAGGCTGCAGAGGAAGGTGAAAAACCCCCAGGGCCTCTGCCAATCTGCCCTGGAGGAAAATTCCTTCCTGACCCCGAATATGGTGATCAGCTAAGCCCTGAGCATGTGGGCAAGACTCAGTAGCCAGAGACCCAGGAAAGAATTCTCTGTAGTAACTCAGATCCCACCCCATCTAACATCCCATCACAGGCCATTGGGCATATTTACTACTAATAGTCAAAGATCAATTAATTGCCAGAATTAGGCTATCCCATCATACCATCCCCTCCATAAACTTATCAAGCTTAGTCTCGAAGCCAGATAAGTCTTTTGCCCCCACTGCACCCCTTGGAAGGCTGTTCCAGAACTTCACTCCTCTGATGGTTAGAAACCTTTGTCTAATTTCAAGTCTAAACTTCCTGATGGCCAGTTTATATCCATTTGTTCTTGTTTCCACATTGATACTGAGCTTAAATAATTCCTCTCTCTCCCTGGTATTTATCCCTCTGATACATTTATAGAGAGCAATCATATCTCCCTTCAGCCTTCTTTTGGTTAGGCTAAACAAGCCAAGTTCTTTGAGTCTCCTTTCATAAGACAGGTTTTCCATTCCTCGGATCATCCTAGTAGCCCTTCTCTGTACCTGTTCCAGTTTGAATTCATCCTTCTTAAAAATGGGAGACCAGAACTGCACACAGTATTCCAGATGAGGTCTCACCAGTGCCTTGTATAACAGTACTAACACCTCCTTATCTCTACTGGAAATATCTCGCCTAATGCATCCCAAGACCGCATTAGCTTTTTTCACAGCCATATCACATTGGCGGCTCATAGTCATCCTGTGATCAACCAATACTCTGAGGTCCTTCTCCTCCTCTGTTACTTCTGATGAGTCCCCAGCTTATAACAAAAAATCTTGTTATTAATCCCTAAATGCATGACCTTGCACTTTTCACTATTAAATTTCATCCTATTACTATTACTCCAGTTTACAAGGTCATCCAGATCTTCCTGTATGATATCCCGGTCCTTCTCTATATTGGCAATACCTCCCAGCTTTGTGTCATCTGGAATCTTTCTTAGCACACTCCCACTTTTTGTGCCAAGGTCAGTAATAAAAAGATTAAATAAGATTGGTCCCAAAACCGATCCCTGAGGAACTCCACTAGTAACCTCCAGCCTGACAGTTCACCTTTCAGTATGACCCGTTGTAGTCTCCCCTTTAACCAGTTCCTTATCCACCTTTCAATTTTCATATTGATCCCCATCTTTTCCAATTTAACTAATAATTCCCCATGTGGGACCGTATCAAATGCCTTACTGAAATCGAGGTAAATTAGATCCACTGTGTTTCCTTTATCTAAAAAATCTGTTACTTTCTCAAAGGAGATCAGGTTGGTTTGGCATGATCTATCTTTTGTAAAACCATGTTATATTTTGTCCCAATTACCATTGACCTCAATTTCCGTAACTACTTTTTCCTCGGGATCCACCTTCTGATACTCACTCCTTGATAGGCTGGGGAGCTCATCTGCAACACCATACAATTCAGGACAGGTGGTCTTCCTCCAAAATAATAGTTACACATAAATCTATTAGAACTCCGTGCAGTTCGCAATGTGTGCCTCCACTTCCTGCCTTTGATAAGAAACAAGACTATATGAGTAAAGACCGACAACATTGCTTGCATGTTTTATATAAATCAACAGGGAGGAGCCCGATCCCACTCCCTATGCATCGAAGGCATGTAACTGTGGAATTGGTGTATCTGACACAATATCAATTTCTCAGCCTCCTACCTGCCAGGCTGTCAGAACATTAGAGTGGATACATTAAGCAGGGAATTTTCTCAGAATCACGAATGGGAACTAAACGATGTCCTGCAGAACATATTTCAACAGCGGAGACCCCCATCAATCGACCTCTTTGCAACACTGCAGATCTACAAGTGCCCACAGTTCTGCTCGAGAGCAGTTCTGGGACCCCAGTCACTGGGGGATGCATTCCTCCTCAAATGGGAAGTGCCATTTCTATGTGCGATCCCATCGATACCATATTATTGAGGGTAGTAAACAAGATATGAATGGACAAAGCGAAAGTCATACTGATAGCCCCAACATGGCCCAGACAGATTAGGTACTCTTACCTGCTGCGGATGGCACTATGTGCACCACGCACTCTCCCGCTCCAGCCGGACCTTCTGTCAAAGAATGATTGGCAGGTCCACCATCTGAACCTGGAAATACTTCACCTGAAGGCATGGCTCCTACATGGTTCCATCATGACAAACTAGCCTGTTCAGTAATACTTGTTTAACCTGTTCCAACCAGTAGGAGGTCAACCATGCACCAGACTTACCTTCAAAAATGGAAGAGGTTCGCTATATGGTGCCAAGCCAAGCAAGTCAATTTCCACACCTCTGCCCTTGATATTGGACTACATCTTGGAGTTAAAAAACTTGGAACTATCCACTAGTTCGATCAAAGTCCATCTTACAACTATTAACGCCTTCCATCACAAGATTGATGGGATGTCATTATTTGTGCACCCGATTACGAAACGCTTTCTTATGGGCATACAGAATGTTTACCCTGAAGTACGTGCACCTACACTGCCATGGGACTTAAACCTGGTATAATGCTGCCTCACTGGGGATCCATTCAAACCCTTAGAGACATGCTATCTGATACATCTGTCAATGAAGGTAGCATTTTTAGTAGCCATTACATTGGCCTGCCATGTGGGTGAGTTAGGGGCTCTCATGGCTCACCCACCTTCTACCATTTTTTTTCCCCCCAAGGACAAGGTCACCCTAAGACCACATCTGAGATTTATACCTAAAATATCTTCATCCTTCCACATAAATCAACCAGTCCCCCCCTGTATTCTTTCCCAAACCTCACAAGAGCACATAGGACTCAGGACTACATACCCAGGGCATTAGACTCACACTAGAGTTCTACCTCAATAGAACTAAGCCTTTCAGAAAATCCCCAAGGCTGTTTGTCTCCACTACCAAATGCTCTAAACACTATGCAGTCACCCAGAGCTCAAGATTGAATGCACTGCTAGAGCTAACAGGGCTGTCTTCACTCACTCATGCAACTCTCAAGCCCCTTCCATCTAACGTGGGGCACTGCTCTACAGTCACCTGAAGTTGAGCACCCATAGGGACATCACTCAAAGAAGAAGAGACGGTTACTCACCCTGTGTGGTAACTGAGGTTCTTCGAGATGTGTCCCCCTGTGGGTGCTCCACTATCCACCCTCCTCCCCTCTACTTTGGAGTTCAAATTCCGGACTCTACAGTAGAGAAGGAACTGAGGGGGTCGGGTTGCTGCGAGACGGGGACTGCACATGCGTGACCTGGACGGGCACTGCTGCTGAAATTCTCCGATCAAATGCGCAGGGATGCACCAACACCTGAAGTGGAGCACCCACAGGGGCATGCATCTCGAAGAACCTCAGTCACTGCACAGGGTGAGTAACCTCTTCTTGCTGAAGGGAACCTGTCTCTTGAAATTGCAGTACAGCCAAGTCCATTACTTTTCTGTGACTTCTGTAGGTTTTGTTTTATATACGTTGTAAAAATGATTTTTTTTCAGATTATCACGGTGAGAAACTAAAATTACCATGAGCCTCCAGTAAATTTAATGAGGCCTTAAGTAGTCTTTGAAAGCTGTCATGTTTGCCTAATTAAGTGTAAATTATTCATAGTGCTATGTGACTCACAAGTCATTGCTACAGCTACATTTTAGTCACTGGTATTTTTAGTAAAAGTCATGGACAGGTCACGGGCAGTAAACAAAAATTGACGGCCGTGACCTGTCCATGACTTTTACTATATACTCCTGACTAAAACTTGGAGAGTGTGTGTGTGTGGGGGGCGGGTATGGCTCGGGGGGTGCCAGGGGTATTCAGGGGGAGAACATAGGTACTGGGAGGAGGGGTTGCCTGGACTGGGGCAGGTTCCCTACACGGCTCCTGGGAAGGGGCGACCTCCAGCTCCTAGCTCCGTGTGCTGCCTCTGCTCCATCCCAAGCCCCAGTTCTGCAGCTCCCATTGGCTGGGAACCACAGCCAATGGGAGCTGCGGGGGTGGTGCCTGCGGGTGGAGGCAGCACGTGGAGCTAGGAGCTGAGGGAGGGGAGTTCCCGTTGCCCTTCCGGGGAGCCCCACCAGGTAAGCACTGCCCTGCACCCCAATTCCCAGCACTGAGCCCTCCCACCCCCAAACTCCTGCTGCTGGGGGGTGGGGTGGGGGCCGAGACTGCCCCAGCAGCAGCCAGTGCGACTGCCCAGGGGCTGCCCAAGCTGCTCAGGTGGCTCCCGGGCCAGCCACATGGGTTTCTGCAGAAGTCACAGAGGTCATGGAAGGTCACAGAATCCATGGCCTCCGGGAGCCTTAGTCATTGCTAATAACTGGATTGCCAGGAAGAGTTGGATTACTCTGTGTTATTGCCGGTTAATTGATTGTTACTGAAGTAAATACACTAAACACTATATAGAGCTCCTTTAAAGTTTTTAATTTATATTTTCAGGTAACACAGCAAGATGTAAGGAAAGAAAATCCTCTGCAGTTTAAGTTCAGGTCTAAGTTTTTTCCTGAGGATGTATCTGAGGAGTTAATTCAGGAAATAACTCAGAGGCTGTTCTTCCTGCAAGTCAAAGAAGCCATTTTAAATGATGAAATCTATTGTCCACCAGAAACTGCAGTTCTACTGGCTTCCTATGCTGTCCAAGCCAAGTATGGAGATTACAATAAGGAGATTCATAAACTAGGCTACTTGGCCAATGACAGACTTCTCCCCCAGCGGTAAGTGGGAAACTGCAGCTGCTATATGGATGCTGCAGAATTGTAAACTTGCTAATAAAAATGTTCTTAGCTTTTAAAATCAGAGTATCAGTTTCTTCAATATTATAATTAATCTTCTCTTTAATGTTAAGCCATATGGTGGTGGTAGTTCTCTGAAGTGAGTGTTTGTTTCATTGGTAAAATTTAGGAGTAAAGGAGGAGATCATTTGGGCTTTGAGTAGTGAAGAGTAGGCATCAGAACTGTACAGTCCTTGTGAGAACTGAATTTTTTGCAACTCTTTAGCTCTGTCTTAAGGTAACTGCACATATTTAGTCAAGCAACTTCCTCTGTTCCAATGAGTTAATATTAAAGTGGTATATAATGCACGTTCCTACCTCTTCTCTGGAATCAATGCCTTCTGTGAATAAATATTGGAACCATCCAGTTTGCAAATCAATGTGGATTCCTTAATAGAGCTGGGCAAAATATTTTGAATAGTTTATTTGCCAAAATATTAAGTTTTGGTAGACCTGGAACTACTAGTGAATTTGACATGAATGTGCCAAAAAATGTTGAAGGGGGACTAGACACCATTCAGAAAATGATGGTGATGCCCTCCTTATAACTTTTAGCCCAATTGTTAGGGCACTCACCTGGGATGTAGGAGACCTGTGTTCAGCTCCCCCCGCTGCCTGATGTGGAGAAGGAATGTGAACGTGGGTCTCCTACATTGTAGGAGGGTGCTCTAGCCACTGAGCTATGGAATTTGCTAGCGTTGGTCTCTCTGCCTCTCCCGTTGAAGCTGCTTCGCTTTCTAAAAATAATTAAGTAGTTCTTGAAGCAGCGACATGAACTTGTCTCCCCCATCTTAGGTGAGTGCCTTAACCATCAGCCTACAGCTATTCTTACCCTTGCCCTAGCCCAGTGACTATGTCTTGTTGTTCATATACTCCAGGGGGAATTCTGCTCCACTGCGCATGCACAGAATTTGTGTCTCCTGCAGATTTCTTTGCTTCCTCACAGAAAAATGATTTTCTGACGGGGAAGCAAAGGGAAGCCACAAGAGCGGTCATGTGACCCTCCCCAGAAGTATGTTTTGGGTACCCAGGGCAGCCAGCAGAGAGGCAAATCACTGTGGGGCAGGGGGTGGGACTGGGGAAGACCCAGCTGGTGGCTCTTACGCTTGTGCTGGGCTCAGCTGCTAGTCCCGGCTGGCCGGGTCAGACCCACCCCCAGATTTCTCCCCCAGCTACAGGATGCTCTGTAAACTTCCCTTCCCTCCCCCCCCTGCTTTCTGCACCCATCGCTCCTCAGCTGCAGAGGGAGGGATCCCTGTACAGGGAGCTGCTCCCCCATCCGCCTGACCCCCTTATACCCAGACTGTCCTGCTGAGCCTCATTCCCCTGCATTCAGAATCCCCTCCCGATAAGCCCCGCTCCCCCTGCACCTGGACCACCCTGACGAGCCACCCGGATCCCTTGCCCACTCCCCCAGTATCTGTACCCCGCCTCCCACTGAGCCCCAACCACCTTCACCTGGACTCCCCTGCAGAGTCCCATTATTGTTGCACCCAGAACCTCCCAACAAGCTCCTGTGCATCCGGATCTCCCCCCACACCCAGATCCCCCACTGAGCCTGCGCCCAGATTGCCCCACACAGAACCATCTCAACCCACACCTGGATCCCCCCATACTAAGCCCCTCCACACTTGGATCCTGCCTTGCTGAGCCTGCCCACACCTGGTGCACCTGGCACGGAGGGGCAGGGCCCTGGGGTGTTTCTGGGCCAGGCCTGGTCCTTGCGCTATGTCAGGGTTGGGTGCAGCCTCACAGTTGAGTTCATGTCCTGGGGACTAGCTGCACAGTGATCTCCTACCTCTGTGTGGCCTGTGCTCCCCAATGCCATAGTGGAGCTTCCATATTTGACAAATAAAATTTGCAGAATTTTAAAATATTGTGTGCAAATTTTTTTATTTTTATTTTTTTGGCGCAGAATGCCCTCAGGAGAAATTCATAGTGGCAACTCGTAGTTATTCAGAATAACAGTGTTTCATTCTCAAAACAGATGTTTTTGATTCATCAAAATTTTTCACAGTTTTTTTGATTGTTTGAGCTGAACAGAGTACTTGTTCTCATTTTTCAGAACTACCAGTGAACTGAAAAATCAATTATTTGCCTGACTCTATTCCTTATTTCACATTTATTTTTCATGTCTTGAAATTTTGGATTTATTCTGGTACTTCTTCCCCTTTTTTGTAAATTACGTTCAGTTACTTAACACTTCTATAAAAACATATTTTTCCAAAGAAATCTAAAAGCTTTCTCATAAAAACACAAGGCTAGACAAAGTTTAACAATTTAAAAAAAAGATGTTCTTCTCCTGGCATACTACCTGAAAACGTAGGGCCTGTTAAGATTGAGATTATAATATCGTTTGAGCATGACTATAGCATTGTGTTTTCCTGTACATATTAGCAATCAAAAAGTATTAGAACATGAATGCCCATAATCATAATATACAGTTATGCTAATACTGTATGTGGGGGGGGAGGGGGAAGGGGCACAGGCAGATTCTTACTACTTCTACCTAAAACAATGCAGTAAACAAGTGTGTACTTGGAGGTAATGTTCCTGTTCATGCCACCAAATTGAAGGACAGGAGAGTGCTACAAGCTGTAAGGTGAATAAAAATCTGAGTTCAGTTCGCTAATCAACAAAACAACCCAGGGTTTATTTTCAGTTACATGTTTGTGTGACATTATCACGGGTACATGTATTTCTCAGTATCCCTCTACTCTGCCCGCTTTGTTCTCGAGTGGCCAGTTTCAAATGATATTTATATGAATTCTACTATTAAAATTTGTGGAAACTTTAAACTCTGTTAGAGCAAGCAACAGAAGTATGGTATGAGAGGGCAGTGCAAAATGGGCCTGTGAAACAAAACCAAGCGTGTCTGTCTAATTTTAGGCTTTCTACTCTTAATAAATAGTAGTTTCAACCTAGAAAATATGGAGCTACTAGGACTGCTCACTTACAAGATTTCAATGATTACCCAGGATATTTTTGGCCAGATTGGCACAGTCAAGGCATTTCATGCTTCTTCTCTGTATGTACTATAATGGGTTTCTCCAGATTTTGTGTTAAGTTCAAGGCCAGACTTAAGGATGATGACAAGGGACAGCTCGTTTCCCTGTACTTTTTAGACTCTTAAGATATATAAACCATTTATGGCTTCAGATAATTTTAAAGAAAAAAAAAAAAAAAAAAAAAAAAAAAACCCACCACCTATGTGTGCCCTGCTTACATTTTGAAAGGGTAGGGATAAGAAGGTTGTTGGAGAGCTGGAGGTAGTATGTTGAGAGGTAGTAAGTAGAAATATCAGACTGCTGCCATCTTAAATAGATTTGAAAAGTGTACACTTAAATAGGTGTGTGCACAATGCATCCAATTGTTCATCTCTTGACCTAATAAAAATATATTGTACCTGCTCAGAATTCAGTTTTCAAATGCTCCTAACTATTTTCCAAAACAGTTTTTTTTCCCCCAAAGAAGTAAAAGGATCTTTTTTAAGTAGCTAAAGTTGCTTTCAGTTTCCCATAATTCAAAATCATCTGGCTGGATTTTGCTTTAATTTTTACAAACAAATTTATTTTGGGGAAGAGATCACTGTGATGGAAACCTTGTGACCTAAACATGAAAGTCTAGTGTTGATGTCAGCATGTGAAAACCAGAAACTTAACAGAAAGTGTCTTGCAACCTTAATAAGAATGGCCAGGACTGGTGCTCACTATAGTAAGATGTTACTTAAATTGAGAGCTCTTTGGGGCAGAGATCATCTTTTGTGTGTGTGTGTGTGTGTGTGTGTGTGTGTGTGTGCACCTGCGTGTGTGTGGTGCCTTGCACAATAGAGGCCTGGTGTGTATGTATTTCAGTAATCCCTAGGAGTCCCAGCACATACTTAGCTAACCTAGGGTTACCATACGTCCTCTTTTTCCCAGACATGTCCGGCTTTTCGGCACTCAAACCCCCGTCCGGGGGGAATTGCCAAAAAGCTGAACATGTCCGGGAAAATGGCGGCTCTGCTCCT